TGTGTGTTAGTGTGTGTGTGCATTTGCGTATTTGTTTGTCCATGGCCACCAAACTGTACAGCGTCATTTCTTGCTGTTTTTTAAAAACCATAATGCAATGGGAAATTTGATCCACTTGTTACATAAAATCAAAATTCGGTCACAGAAATAAAGGTTTACTTTACATTTTGGTGTAATTTTGGACTGACTCTTTCTGCAGCCTTTCTTCTACTAATCGCCGGCTCCACGTACTGCTGTTTTTCAGCTACACCTCTAATCTATTGGTGGGAAAGATCTACGCCTAGCCTTCTCGGATAAGGGCGAACTATCCCGGAGGTCATGTGTGCAAGTTGCGCACGTTAAAGATCCCTTGGTGGCCTAAAATCGATAAGCGTAGGCTTCGGCAGCGCTCGTCTCCGAAGCGGAAAGTCCGGTTTCGAGCCTCGGTTCGGACATGGATTTTTTTCCCCGCCCCCTTCTGCCCACCCAGAAGTAATGAATGGGTAACTGACTTCGAGTTGGGGAAGTAAAGGCGACGTGGACAAGAACTGGCCACCCTACTACAATATGCCGAAGGCCCAGGAAGTTGTCTCACTAACAAGGCAACCCCCAATGTCCGGATCGGATGCGGGAACAACTTTACTTAATTCTCCAGCTCTAAACCTTTTAAAATGTTGGGCTCCTGGCTCTTTCTGCAGCCTTTCTACTGCTACTCGCTTGCTCCTTCTTACTGCTGTCTTTCTGCCACACCCCTGATCTTCTGGTAGGAAAGATCTACACCTAGCCTTCTCGGACAAGAGAGAAAAATCTCGGAGGTCCCGCGTGCAAGTTGCGCACGTTAAAGATCCCTTGGTGGTCTAAAGTCGATAAGAGTAGGCTTCCGCAGCCACTTGGGTAAAATTCAAAATTTCCTATAAACTGAAAATGTTTAATGTGTCCCGCGCGCTCATATTATATTATGACCTTATGCAGTTGCGAGCGCCGTAAAAAACGTACCTTACCTTTTAAAAATTGTAAAAACCACCCCTTGGATTTTTTATTAGTATTTATCAAGGAATTCTCTAGAATACAGCTAACAGGTGTTTACAAGAATATTGATATGTTAAGACAAATTGATACAAGTCATTGTGCAAAAGCTGAATATTCTATGTTCTGTTTTAGTTTTAGTAAGGTTTTACGGCGCTGGCAACTGCATAAGGTCATATGAGCGCCAAGAGGTGGATGTCAACAGAGAAGTCCAAACCGGGAATCAGGCTTACTCTGCTCACCTCTCTAGCCTCAACAGCACAAAGTCAAGGCACCCCGGAAATAACAGTTCGCAAGAGAGTGACAAACACACAAAAGAAGTAGAGGAAAAGTGACTACAATAAGGATGAGGAAAGAAAACGCAGCAGTTTCCCCTATGTTGTTCCAGCACAGTATCACAGTATGAGTATGACATTGATAAATCAACCCATTTACAATTCTACTGTGCATAAGAACATGTTAATATCCCCCCTTTGGGAGTGGCCTAAAGACACTTCAGTCAGTAGCGCTGCCCTGGGGGAGGGGGGGGGGGGGTTCTATGTTCGATAGTTGTGAAGATATTTGGCAATAAGTTGCGTCACGAATTTTTGACCGCACTACTCGTCTCACTTATATTATTATTTTACAGCCTTGAGGTAGTAGAACGTGATAGATAGATAGATAGATAGATAGATAGATAGATAGATAGATAGATAGATAGATAGATAGATAGATAGATAGATAGATAGAAAGAGAGATAGATAGAGATATATAGGGATAGAGAGATAGAGGGATAGAGAAATAAATAGAAAAAGAAAAGCAGAGAGAGAAGAAATGGAGAAAGAGAGAGGCAGAGAGAGAGAGGGAGAGAGGAGAGAGGAGAGAGAGAGAGAGAGAGAGAGAGAGAGAGAGAGAGAGAGAGAGAGAGAGAGAGACAGAGAGACAGAGGGAGAGAGGAGACCAATATGTAGTTTATCTTTTAGAAAAGTATTACTTTAAAGAGCATTAATGACTGCACGAAATAAACGTATCGCAAAACACGAAGTAAAACGTATTGCAACGCAGAACAATTATTACTCAGTTATAATTATTTTTGATATCTTACCCTCTCATATTCCTGATATACGAGAACAAATTTCAACCAAGCGTTTCAAGGACGTCTATGTATTTTTTTTTCTAACCCAGTGCACACCGCCAATTTGATAGGCTAAAATAGAACCTGGACAAGGATGGCTGGTGCCTCTATAAATAAATTATTGATGGTCAAGGTCAAGGTCGCCAATTTAATTCTTTTGAATAAGACGTGACAAATAAGATTATTTTCATGGAGGGGGAAGAGCTACAAATCTGGTACAAGAGGATTTGATTCACCGAAGTTTGACTGCGACCTTCAAAATCAAACATGTATGTTTTTCAAGGAAGCGAGTCGAATCGTTCGTACTGTGCCAAAATAGTATCTTTTTCCTTTCCATGATGGAAAATTAAATGGTTGACCGCTACTGAATCAAATTGGAAGTGTGTACAGGGTATAAGCAATGATTGTCGCTGAAAAGCAGTTCTTGCAAATATTCCGGAGCGTAACGTTCTATTCTGAAAACCCCCCCCAGCAACCCCAACTTACCTGGCTGTCTAAAAAGGAAGTTTCTCTTCTCAGCGTTCTAACGCTTCTTATAGACGGACGACGTCAATGAAAAGCGGCTTGTTAGGGACAAAAGTAGACTCTCAAATCTGTTGCGTCTTCTTGATAAAGACCCTTTCGTTCGCTTTTAACTACACTTAAGGCAGACTCAACGAAGCGAATAATCTCTTTGTGTGTCCGTGAATGGATGTCCAGACTAGATGAATAAATTTGTATGTTCTCATTGCACACTAGTGTGCTGACGCTAGCGTCACACAGGGCCCGATGGTAACATATTATGCAGTGTGTTAGGCTCATGTTATGTGCAGCCTTGTTTGCTCGAATGAGTTTTCAGTTTTAGTAGAGGTTTTACGGCTCTCGCAAGTACATAAGGTCATATGAGCGCCAGAAGATTGAAGGTGTTACAAGAGAGAAACAAACATAAAAAAAGAAGAAGGGGAGATAAGGACGATATATGTTTGATAGGAAAGAAGAAGCAAACCACACCAGAGCACCCGCCAACCACCCACTTGCTTGAGTGAACAGACACACTTATATACAATAACGACCGTTAAGTGCAGGGGAAAAATCAGGTGAGAGAGACAAAATAGAGAAAGAAAAGAAGCAAGAACTACTAGGGGCGTCCCTCAACCATTTGCAACGTGCATTCTGTAACTTGGGAATCCTAAAGGTAGTTTAGGGTTGAGACAAGCACATACAAATGTCTACAATAACGTCCATTTAGTGTTAGTAAAAAGAACAACAACAACAAAACAACTACAACCAAACCAGACAGATAAACTGAAGAATAATAAAATAATCCAAATACCCGAGACACTCTCTGACCAACAGCCTTTCTTCTTTTCCAAGAACTTATTCGGGAAAAACGAAAGCACACAAAACAATGAAAGGGTACAATAAGTTATGAGTTGTCACTTCCTTTTCAACACTGCTACATCAGTTAAAAGATGGGCCCTTCTAATTTTAATCATTCTCCGATAGAAGCGAGTTATGTAGGTGGAGTGCCTTGAAACATCTAAAACAACCGTAGTTCAAGGGTGCCTCTTTTGAAATTTGAAGTAAGGTCATCCGCAGTATAGACCGTCACTGTACTAACTGCGATATCAGTGTGCACAACACAAAACAATGTTCACTGTAAAAACGCTAATAGACACTCATAATAAAGTACCCTTAGAGAAGTACATAGTCTACCGTTGCCACCTTCCAAACATCCACTCAGTCCATTAGTATATGACTGTCGACGTCTATAAGCTATGGGTTGACATCCTATTAGTATATGACTGTCGACGTCTATAAGCTATGGGTTGACATCCCCTTTCAGCACTGTCATTATCAATTTAAAAAAAATGCCAACATTTATTCCGTTCTCCCATAGAAGGGACCCAATATATTTTTTATTATGTGCATGCAATTTATTTCTATAATGTGAACATTCCTTTGTGTAAATGAGTTTGTGTGTGTGAGAGTGTGTTTGTGTGTTTGTGTGTGTTTGTGTGTGAGTGCGTATGTGTGTGTGCATGTGTATGTGTGTGTGTGTGTGTGTGTGTGTGTGTGTGTGTG